GTACGAGACTTCCTCCAAAAGTCACATGTCAAGTCCCCAAAACGAGCGTTTCGTACGAGACTTCCTCAAAAATTCACACGTCAAAGTCTTCAAAACGAACGTTTCGCACGAGACTTCCTCCAAAAGTCCAGCGGAAACACCCATCCAAGCAGTTTCGCGAGTCCAGCCCCTCCAAACGACACCCGCTCACACGCCAATCCCAATGCGGCAGCGACATTCACCTCTACCACAACTCACAACCTCCCGATTCCCTGCGCCTGCCACGAATCTTTCCGCGTCCACACGTCTAACGCGCGCAAAGTACTGTGCCTGCCACGAAATGCCACCTCCGTCACACATCGCAACCTCACGGTTCCTTGCGCCTGCCACGAAAATCCCACTTCCACACCTCAAAACCCGCACAAAGTCCTGCGCCTGCCACGAAAAGTAACAATGTCATCTCATGTGAGCTTCAACAAAATTTGCGCCACATCACACGTTTGGAATGATTTCGACCCGTTCTGAGCACACTCCCATCCACCAAAATCGGCATTTCAGCTGAGACTTGTCACGAAAACAGAGCTTCGATGCCACACCCTGAAACGCAAATCCCAATGGCACGGCCACATCCAACACCCCAAAAACACGACTCTCCAAACGCTAATCCCAATGGAACTGCGTAGCAAACTGCGGATCTCACAAAACGCTGCGCCTGTGCAGCGAAACGCATCACGCTTCTTGCGCGACATGTCATTTTCACGCAAATCACAATGGACTAGCGTCGCAAACTGACACGTGACACATCCATGAATAGTCACTTGCAAAAGCTTCCCCCAATGGCAGCGCCTTAGCGACCTACTGCGGACGGTTGCGAACGGTTGCGAACGGTTGCGGACGGTTGCGAACATAGAAGCAACGGGTCGCGAACAAGACTCTACCCCCAGACCCCCAAGAGTTAAACGAGAACCCTTCGCTACGCATTCGGGAATAAAAAAAATTGGTTGTCCAATTCCAGGAGCATTTTTTTTTTCGCCCCCCCCCTAGAGAAGCCCAGGCCCAGGCCCCACTTGCTGGAGATTGAGGACTCATTGTCAATTCCACGAGCTGGAAGTGGCCCAGGTGCTAGAGATAGTCAAGATTATTGATTTCATTATAGCTACCTGTGTAAGAGTAGCAATTCCACCACAACTTCTTATATTCCTCTCGTCTGTTTGAAGACACAACTGTCTGCTCCTGCAAGCACTTGTATATACTGTAGGCTCTATGTGGTGAGGGTGGATACCTATACTGTATGGTCTCAATGATGGAGTGTGGAAGATTGTCTTGATTTGATGGCTTAAGATATCCAATGAAAGAGAGAGATGGGCATATAGCTAGAGAGCATAGGAAAATGGAACTTCCAATGTGGATGAAATGAGATGAGATGAGATGAGATGAAGCATTGGGTGCATCAAACAGCTGGCATTGGGCTTGTGGCTGTATGCGTGCAATTCCATTTGAGACCAAAGGCGGTTGCGTAGATGCAACACCTGGGCACGAGAGATTGGGATCCTGACTTTGAGCAAATTGTTTTGCCATACAAGCCATTGAGCAAATGCTCTAGACAGCAGCACAATATGGATGGTGCTTCGATTGGGTTTGATTGTCCTCCAAGAACACATGGGCACCATGTGAGAGGGAAACTTGCTGGGCGATCAATGATGGGGATGGGGTCCATGGAATGCCTGGTGCAAATGGGTTCGTGCATGATTAGGTGGCCCAATGGAAGATCAGAACCATTTGGGTACAACATTGGTTGCTCCTTATGATTCATGCTATTGGTAGGGCAATTTTTTTGCACAATCTATTGGTTTACTTTTGGGTGGGTGTTGGTGAGGTCCAATGAGGTTTTGAGCTTGGGTGGCATCGCGAGAATGTCCTTGGCAATGTTGGGTGAATATTGGGAGCATGCTGAGCATGCCAGGTTTGGTACAACCTGACTTCATGTATGTCTATGTGTTAGGGTGAAGAGAAGGTAGCCTTGGGAATGAGTAGTGGCCACACAGCCAATTCAGACCCTCAGTGTATCTAAGGCTGGATCATTCCATGGGCTTCATAAGATTCTTTGGAAGATTTCGTCATAGATGGGGGGATATGGAGCATAGATCTGAAGAGCCATTGGGTGAGAGCAGTGGAGATGAGCAGGATTGGTCCAATCGAACTTGTGGGATAGGATGTGAGCTCCCAAGTGACCCTGAGAATGAGGATGAGGCTTATTATGGGTAGGACGTCAAGAAGGCCATGCAAAACCCAATTCCAATCAGTCATCCAGGTCCAGTACTACTAAGCAAGTTTCTCAACTTTTGTTGGGCGTGGTGGGCACATTGTGTTTCAAGATAATGATCTTCTCTCCATTTCATAAAGAATGTGGAGGGAGAAGCCCATTTCATAAAGAATGTGGAGGGAGAAGCCCAAAAAGTGCTACCTTTGAAACAATGAGAATGCTTATGGGCAAGGAAGGGTAGAGTTGGATCCAGAGGTTTTTTAAACAAGAAAAGTTGGTTTTGTTTGGGAAACAGGAGCACAAGAACATATCTAGACTATAACCATGGAAACTCTGACTAAACATGACAAAATCTAAGAAAAACACCACAAAAGCACGTAAAAACCACGCCCGCATAACGTCGAGCTCTCTTATCTTTTGTTCTACGTATACGTCGTATATTCTTTGGTCTGTAGGGTCCCTCTTATTCCATTACCCGGTTCCCAACAGTGGTCTCTTTTTAAGGTGACTCGTTGGA